ATGTATGTTTCTTAGTGGTCTTTGTGGTGGAGTCGGGTCCAATAGGTCGTCTTCAAGAAATTGGATCATTTGGGCCCATGAAGATGAGTCGATATCCGCAAAGTCATCAAAATTAATGGGGTTTCTCATGCCTGCATGATTATGTTGGGGTGGTTGGCTCGATGAGGCAATGTCAGGACAATAGTCTGCCTGGTCGTAAGGTGACATGGGTGTAAATGTTTGAGTGGGTAAGGGTTGATTGGGTGTTTGATACTCCGTGTTAAATTGGTTTGTAGTATCATAGGAGTATGTTTGGTATGATGGTGGATATTGTTGGTATTGAGACTGTGAATAACTTTGTGTGAATGGGGTGGTTTGATAAGGGGTATGTTCATGGAGTTGTGGTTGTGTGAGTGGGGGTTGGGTTGACGGTTGGAAATGGGGTTGGGTAGGTTGTTGGGGTCTTGATGATGAAGCTTGTTGGTATGGGTCAACAAGATATCTAGGATGCGAAATGAAACCAATGGATACCGAACTATACCAATTCATGTATTGGATAGACGGTTTTCTCTCATATGAAACATTTCTTGAAGCGCTAAAATAAACTTGGTATCAAGGAGATAATTTTGTATTTTGATTACTTCCCCAAATCCTGCGCGCTCCAAATATGGTTGAATTATCGGGTCATGTGGGAAATGTTTATGCCCACGAGTTCGGAAGTCATGAGTATTCTAACAAAAAAGAAATAGTGAGCTACAAATCATTACAACATTGTGATTATAACAACAATAGAATGCTACAAATACTTACATAAGAAGCGATGTTGTTTGGTGCTCCTCTATGCTTCTCGCCCAATGTTAACAGAGACATTTTTCTAAGACTATATAGTGGTAGATGTTGAAATGTTGGATAAAATTGATGAGTTTTGACAATGAGGCTCCATAGTATTTATAGTAAAAATTTTGAATTTATGGTAGATAGAAAAATTAAATTGGTGTAGTTGAAATATTGATTGATATGTAGAAAAGTAAATGAGGTAGATGAAGTGTGTAGACAATCCTCCACACTTGGCAGATTGCATGCATGCAAAATTAACTTTTCGTACAATTTCCAAGGAGGCTCCATAGGCAATGGCGACACCCTTTAAGTTTTCGGACACATGTACAAGGAGGCTCCATTCACCATGGCGCCACCCTTTAAATTTAAGGAAGGGACTCCATCATGGATGACATCACCCTTTAAATTTATTGAAGGGACTCCATTCACCATGGCGCCACCGTTTAAGATTTAATATTATTTAATTCTTATATGTTTATTATATATGTATACATTGAAGATGGTAAATATCATCTAAACTAAATTTCAATACATCTCATTTTATGCAAATATGTCTAGAACAACAAATTATATTATTCATGCTCATTTTAATGGAGACACGTACATCTTTGAAAATTCCGACTTTGGGTTTCAAAATACTGATGTGACCCAATTAACAATGAGCAGAAAATCAAATTTTTTGCATTTCAAAGAGCGAATAGAGTCAAAGATTTTGTCTGGTCCAATATCTTAAATCATATACATAAGTCTCGTTTTCTTTGACAACAGTCAGGTCAAGTATTTTCAACAGAATATACAGGACGATAGCGATGTTCAACAAATGTTTGATAGTCATGAACACTCTGGGTTCGACTATATCGAGGTGTATCTATTACTCTGCCAGAATCAACATGAAGTTGGTGAATCTCAGGTAATAGATCAGTCATATTCATTGGTCAAGATGAATTTGATGTTGTGGACGAGGAGGAAGAAGAACCTGAGGCCATGGTTGATCAAATGGTGAATTTGTTCGAGACTGGGGACTACACCGTAATAACTCCACTTCAAGACATAGATGAAGAGGCATTACCATTAAGTCATATGTATTGTCCTCCCCAACACATGACTAACTTGTAATTGAATGGAGACGACACTTCCTCAGATTTTTTTTTTTATAATGCTTCTCAACAAATTGAAGGTGTATTGAAAGTGGGGAACCAGTACCACACAAAAGCATAGTGCATGAAAGCTATAATAAAGTTTCATATGGATAACTTTGTTGATTTTGAAGTAAACCAGAATGACTCAAAATGCTATGTCGTAGTTTGTCGTAACAAACATTTCAAGTTTCGGTTAGCAGTGTCCTATCAAAAAAGAAGTGATTGTTGGGAGATAGGTTCAATGGATCCACCTCATATTTGCACAACCAACATCAATCGGCAAGATCATGGTAAACTAAGCTCCCAATTGATATGCCAAGAGATTTTACATCTTGTGGGCGTATATCCATCTGTGAAGGTGAGCACAATTATCTTCCATGTTGTTGCACGGTTCAACTATACCCTATCGTACAAGAAAGCTTGGATTGGAAGAATAAAAGCGGTTGAACATGTATATGGGAATTGGGAAAAATATTACAATCAACTTCCACAGTATTTACTAGAACTTCAAAAATATGTTCCTGGTACGGTTGTAATATTGGAGTCACTTCCAGCATACACACCTGAAGGAACATGTGTTGATGGAAGTAGGATATTCTCTCGTCTCTTTTGGGCATTTCAACCGTGTATCAAAGGTTTTGCGTTCTGCAAACCGGTTATTCAAGTCGATGGGACATGGTTGTATGGAAAATACAAAGGAACATTGCTGATGGCGGTTGCACAAGACGGAAATAATAATATATTTCCGATTGCCTTTGCTCTGGTCGAGGGTGAGACGGGTGAAGCTTGGAGTTTCTTCCTCAGAAATCTCAGAACACATGTCGCTCCTCAACCCAACTTATGTCTGATTTCCGACAGACATGCCTCTATTGTGAGCGCCTACAACAATCCTGCTAATGGTTGGCACAATCCTCCTTTTGTCCATGTCTACTGCATAAGACACATTGCTCATAATTTTATGCAGGAAATGAAAGACAGAAATCTCCATAAAAAAGCTGTGAACGTTGGGTATGCCTTAAACCAACCATCGTTCATGTATTATCGCAAAGAAATAAGATTGTCAAGCGCGGAAGCATTAAGCTGGGTGGATATCATTCCAGTCGAAAAATGGACAAGGGCTTTTGATGGAGGATGCCGATGGGGTCACATGACCACAAATCTTGTAGAATCCCTAAACGGCGTATTTAAGGGAACTAGAAACCTCCCCATCACTGCGTTGGTAAGAGCAACCTATTACAGATTGGGGTCACTTTTTGCGGCAAGAGGAAAAAAATAGAGCGCTGTTTTGGAATCAGGGCAAATATTCAGCGAATCATGTATGAAATATAAGAAGGATGAAACTGCTAAGGCGGCCTCACATCGAGTTAGTGCATTTGATCGTCACGATTACAACTTCATTGTTAACGAGACAAAGGATCACAATGAGGGTCGGCCAATGGGACACTACAGGGTAGAAATTCATAAAAATTGGTGCGACTGCGAAAAGTTTCAAACCTTCCGCATGCCTTGTTCACATGTCATTGTCGCATGTTCCAGTGTTCGTCAGGATCCATTCTTGCAGCTATCAGAAGTTTACAAGGTCGTGAAATTATTCGGTATCTACAATAACAATTTTCCAGTGGTAGCTAGTGAAGACTATTAGCCAACTTATCATGGAGACACAATTTACCACAACAGAAATACGAGAAGAAACAAAAAGGTCGCCCCAAAAGCACGCGAATTAGAACTGAAATGGATACAACTGAGAAAATGGAAAGATTGTGCGGAATATATCGTCTTCCCGGGCATACGGGGAAAAATTGTCCAAATATTGGAACAAGTTCTAGATAGATTTACTTTGGTCATTAAAAAATGGGTAACCTTGGAATTTAATCTTTATAACAACTTTTCATTACCACAAAAACAAATTGAAATACTTCTAAAGCAACAACGCAAATCATTATAAATATAACGATTATTACAACATAAACTAAGATATAACAACAATCAAAGTAATATCATCAGTTCCGAACATCATAGACCTAACTTCGTTGTCATCTTTAATTCGCACCCACTTCCGCCGTATATTTCCGTCTGCAATCGAGAAGTACGAAACACGTCTTTCAATACTTCTAATTCTTTCACCATTTGGAATGTCTCCTTCTAAATAGCGATTCAAATTTCTTCGTAGTTGCTCTAAACTCTGGATGTTCCAAAACAACATCCTTATCGGAGGCTTAGTTTTTGAGAAAAAGACATGCCCATATCTTCTAAGATACATGATTCACTCTCCTAAATTTGGATGAAACAATGTTAATTTAAGAGTGAAAGAATATACAAGCCTAACTATTTATACAAATTTTTTAAAAATAAAATAACATTAACTATTATAAACATTTAATATATGATTTATATTTGAATTAAATAAATTTAACGAAATAAGGGGGCTCCAAAGAGAACGGCACCCCCTCTTATTCGTTTTAGGCTGACTCCATCATGGACGGCGTCCCCCTTATAATTATAAGGGTGACTCTATCATGGACGACGCCCCCCCTTATAATTATAAGGGTGCCTCCATCATGGATGACACTTCTTTTATTAAAAAAAAAAACTTTATTTGTAAAGTGAGTAGAATGGTATTTAATTTGAAAAGGTGGGTATATTGAGAAATAATATGCTCAAAGGTGGGTATGAGGGTGAAAAATTCAACAATTGATAATATAAAATTTACTTTTATTCATTTATTCTATTTTATGTTATTTTTTGCCATTAAATTACATCTCACAATTTTGTTCTCTTGGTTACTCAAAAGTATCCCGCGTTTGCCCTAATCCGTCACCGCCGTCCGTCGCCGCAGCAACTCGCCGTCTCAAGGTTCGATCTCCGTCTCCTCGCAACTAGTCAAACCCTAACTCATCAATTTTCATTCAATGTTGCAAAAAATAACTTCAAAGACGATATTTTATCATTCAACTCTCTTCTGTTTGTGTTGCTTTTGCTCCAAAGTTTGATTTGTGGTTGCTGTAATTGCTTTTTTTTTATTTTTTTTTATCAATATTAGGTTACATGGAAGATTCAGAGCAAAGAAGAAAACGGTTGAAAGAAATGCGATTGCAAGCTGATCTTGCTGAAGACTCTGGTGGCGGCGGCGGTGGTGGTGAAGCTTCTGGTACGCAGGGTATTCTTTCAAATCCATTGGCTGAAGCTCCTTCAATTATGCCACCACCGGATGCTGCTCCGAGATTTAACTATTATACAGATCCAATGAATGCGTTCTCTTCTGATAAGAGGAGTAGTGGCAATGTCCGGCCTGCACCCGAATATTTGCCTCCTCCTCCTCCTCTTCCTCTAAATTTTGGTGGATCTCCTATGGTGCAGTTTTCGTCGCCACATACAGGTATCCTACACTGATAGTGATAGGGACTTAGACACGTCTTTTTTCAGAGGTGTTGGTGCTTTAGTGGTTAATAGCCAATTTGGTCATTGAAATTGTATGCCAGGATCAACTTAATCCCGACATTATCATTTTTTCATAATGGTTTCTGAAATTGTAAAATGGAAATTAAGTTTGTCAGTTTAATGATGTTGAGTTGAAAATGTGGGGATGAATTTGAAACTAATTGAATGATTGTTTGTAGGGAAACATTTGGTAACAAATTCAGAATGAGGGATGAAATTGATTAATATTTTGCAATTCTATGGATCATATTCGTATTAAAGTATTTGGGAATGTGGTGGAGGACTAGGTTGATACAATATTACAATTTTGCATACTAATTTGAATATTTACTCAACATTAACTACTATACCTATTTATGCTGATGTTATAGCATATGAATGCATAATGGAATTAGGACTTCGTAACCCTGCTTCCGTTATTTTTAGAATTAGGACTTCGTAACCCTGCTTCCATTCTTTTTAGAGTAACCCTTCAAATATTTAGTTTGCTGAAGAATGTTTCCTTCAATAGCCTACAATCTGACTATTTTCGTAATGTTTATCAATCACGGAGAAACTTTAGTCTAATAATCTTCCAACTTAAAAGAATAAATTTTAGCCTGTGGGACTTGATTGAGTCGAGTTTGGGTATATTGATTTATTGAATAAATTTTGATGTATTTAGTTTTGTAATCCCAATCCTTAATGTATGAGAAGTTTCTCTGGTCTGTTTTTATTAAAATATTATTGAGTTGAAGTCGGAAGCACTACATTGATGAGTTATTATTGTATTGTTATGATCTTTAGTATTTTCTCTTATGTACACTCTAATCACTCTAGATTTACATTTACATTTTTCCTGTCTGACAATTCACATTGATTGATTTGAAATAACAGAATCAACAAATCTACAGATGTCTCCTTCTCCTACTCAAACATTGCCAGCACCCTATAGAAATCCAGTTTGGAATAGACCTAGAGGCCCTCTTCAGTATAACTTTCCATTCCGTCCATCAGGTGGTGGTACTTATCTGAGTCCTAGGTTTGAACCTCCGGGCGGTCCATCGTACAACAATGCACCAGGCATGAATCAATGGCCCAACCATAATTCAAATCCTTCTTCAGGATATAGTCCAAATCATTCTGAAGGATATAGTCCAAGTCCTTCTTCAGGATATAGTCCAAATCATTCTCCAGCATTCAGGAACAGTCCTAACACTAGTCAAGGCCGAGGCAGAGGCTTCTGGCATAGTACCAGAGGCCCTGTTTCAGGACGAGGTGGTAGACAAGGATCAGGTTCTCATGGTCGCTGGTCCAATAAAGACAGAAGTTGTGGTCCAGAACGATATTACAAGAGGTCCATGATCGAAGATCCATGGAAGTGTTTGAAACCTATTATATGGTGTTCAACATATCATTTTTCAAATATTTCATTTACACCTGAGAATTCAAAACCCCAGGCTCTTTCAGAATCAACAAGTACAAAAAGGGAGGGACCATCTGCTGTTTTTAGCAAATCCAATTCTGGACCAAGTCTCGCTGAGTATTTGGCTTCTGCGTTCAATGAAGCTGCCAACACTGAAGAATAATGTATGATGATGACTGCATTAAATGCATTGGACTCATCAATGTTGTGTAGTAGCAGTTGTTGCACTTTATACACCAAACACCCAGGAGGAGGTTTTAGGAATGTGTTCAGGTTACTAACATGAATGATTTGTGCCAGATACAAGCTCCATGCACAACCTCTGTAGAAACTGTTAAAACTGTGGTTGATTAAAGTTTAAATTTAAATGCTTTGGAATAAGCTGACACACTGAACTTGAGAGACAGAAAGCATTTAATGACCTCGATGTTCAGAATGATTGGGCTGGAAAAATGAATGGTTTTGTGTACATTATAGATTTGTAATTTCTTACACTGCATGATTCAAATATTGTATTTATATCTTTTCATGTCGTAGTCATTGTCTTTTTAGGTTTTCTGCTACTCTGAGCTCCCACTTTCAAGGTACTTTTCTTATTTTTCCGGTGAAAATTTAAACACTTACAAAAACACAAATTTCTTATTTTATACAACTGCATTTTTTGGAACAATGCATGACTAGAACAAAGACAAAAAAAAAGTGTACCTGCTGATACAAATCGATAAAATCTGCATATAGATTATCAAGTACATGCCTATAAAATCAAAAGATAAAACGGATACATACAGGTTGAGCTAACGGTATCCCTACATGATATATGCATCTCTTAGTCAATTATCAAAATCTCATATTACTTATACATGAAATTTATTAAAGATGGAGAATGTAATATATGAAAGATGTAGGATAAATCATACAAAATAGTTGTTTTCTAAATTAGTGCTTGGGGATATATGTAAACCATTTATTTTGTTTCTATAGTTAGAGTAGGAATATTGAGAAATAATAATTTATGTATACAGTGAAGTCTTTTCTTTTTATAATAGTTTTCTTAAACACTTACTCGAGTATAAAATAGCAACACATGCAATAGTTTTCTTTTTAAATTAAAATTTTTCGGATTAATAAAGCAGGTGAATCACACTTTTTAAACTTCATGTTTGAAAAACCATATATAATTTCTAGCTAATAATAATAAATAATGCAAAAAAGGAAAGTGTTAGAATGCATGTTGTTAAGATTTCTTTAAAAGACAATAACCTAGTCCACCACATCACTAGCTAGAGGAACAATTGAAAAATCTGATCCATGTACTGATCCTACAATTCCTACAAACTGCAAATAACGTTATGAATATCCAGTGCCATTAAGGTTCAGTGGAATCAAACTAAGAACAAAATATTTAATGTAGAAGAAACTAGCTCCCCTAAGATTTTTGTTCGCAACAAATTTCGTCTGTGAAAGTGTGTATTAGCTGGTCTGCTAAGCTTGCAGGGTCATCAATCAGTGCATCAACAAAAGCACTAACCACCCTTCTCTCTTGCTGATTCGCCTTGAGACTAAACCAAGTCAGAAACTTCACTCTAAAGATTTCATCTATGTGCCCTTGATGCTCCAACCACTTCACTACCCTCACAGAATACTCGTAATCGTTCTCCTTCACGCGCTTTCTAGAACTCAAACCAGTAATTTGTCTCATTTCATTTGGTTTAGAAGGCGTGGCAGGTGGAACTGCTGCAAAACTTTTATACGAAAAAGGGTCTATCGTTGGAGGCTTTGTGAGAAACTCTTCAAACCTGTCCCTGATGTTTAAAACTGTGGGTTTCTCAGAAGCCATCTTAATTTGGTCTTGTGAATATCTGTCATTCATAGTTGAAGAATGGTTTCCAATTTGTCGAATAACTTTTGATGGTGGTTCACAAGGTGTCACCCATTTAGCTTCTGCTGCACCCAAAATCCCCGTGCTGCTGAATATAGAAGCCTTGCAAGAGTATTCGGTTGCAGGTGTGAGGTTTTCTAACTTGAATCTTTTCTCGGGCCTCAAAACAATGAAAGTCGGTTGTTCTGGGTAGTCCATTGATGATATTCTGTGCCAAAGCCTGCAGCCTAGAAAGTTCTTTAAGAGTTTGTCTTTGTATTCAAGCACAATGACCACCGAGGTGGGAAGACACTCTTCGAAATGTAACGAACATGCTGCCAAAAGTAAAGCGACAAGAAAAGCCAAATTAGTGTGGGTTAATAGAAAATCAAAAAACCATCTAATACAATTTGCTTAATAGCGGCACTATAGCTGCTATTATTCAGTAAAATGTTATTTAGTACAAAATGTTTCCAGAAAGCGGCTATAGTTGTGCCATAGCACTGTTGCGTAGCAGAATTTGAACAAACTGATGTTGAATTCTAAGACTAATACAATGAATATAATGCTATTATGGATTCAAAATTTCAAGAATGAACAGAAACCAAGGCTCTTTGAACTTTAACTATCGTACTAGAGTGCAATTAACATGAAAATCCCAAGGATTTCTTGCTCTACCGTGCAATTAAAAGCTCAATCAGCTGACCTTCATACAAAATAAAAAATTAAAACCTTACTTGGTGCTTCTTTCTTTTCTTCACAACTAGAAAAGTGTTCAGAAAACTTTAAATCAAAACATTCAACTGCAGTAGAGCACAACTTCTGAACCTCAGCGCCACATGAGAGCCTGCTCACAATTCCACGCGTCATCCTAGCATATACGTGATCCAGAGGTCCCGCTTCATTCTCCAATAATTCGAGAGCGGTTTCTACGATCTTATGCACTTCTGTGTATACTTTTGTTCCTACGAGAATTCTGTGCGCCAAGGAAATTCGCAAAGAGAGTATATCCACTCTTCTTGCTTCTCTGGCAACCAATAATTGCTTTCTCCATGTCCTAAAAAATCCAAATATCCATTCAAATGAACGATCTTTTACACATGCTGCCTTAAACAGCTGAATAGAAACCAGTACGAACAAAAACTTATTAAGTAATTCGGGATTTGTGCGTATACATGTGTGCATCTATTCATGAATATCTTACTTTTGTGTGTGTATAAAATAGTGTGTAAACTACTTACCTCATTAATTCATTAATTTTTCCACAAGAAACACAACAGAAGCTTCCGTCCAAGGTTACACCGCGACTTCCCTTCAAAATGCAAGACATTTGATTACTCAAAGCACATTGCAAATGACACGACAATCCACATGATTCTTCATTCGGTTTATCAGAGGAGCAGGTCAACCACAAACTAGGATCCTTGTTATCGTCGTAACAACGGCATATACAACAAGAACATCTCTTGCAAAATGAATCTTCTGGTTTCAGTGTAGCTTTGCATGCCACATTCCGACACACTAAGGCTTTTGTTGTTTCCTCATTCGTGTTCTCTAGTTGAACATTACGTAAATCAAGAGAAGGGGGTCCTTTTTTCCTTTTAGATCCTACGCAACTTTTGGCAGGAGAATGAACAAGAGCATTTTGGTCAACGTACAAGTTGGATTTCTTAGAAATTAACTTCAGAAGATATTCTATCATCTGACCCTTAGTATATCCGGTGTACTTCCTTTCTTTGCCTAATTCAGCACAGATTAATTCTAGGAGTTCCCGGCGAGTAAATGATTGAAGTATATCCGGGGCATCTTTGGACTGACAAGCAACTTCATGGACCAGTCTTTGCTTCTCTTGGAAGTTCATAACACCGCATTTTGCAGGGTCAAGAAAAAAACCTATATTGAAAGATGAACAACATTCGTAAGTTCATATCATCTCGGTGAAGTGAATAAATGAAGTTCAACATGACTATATGGAAATCTTTTAATAAATTTATGAAGTACATGACTGTCCTCTATAGAAAATTTGGACATTGTATTTATCATCTTCCTAAAATATCCACTATGTATAAATAAAACACCTTATTTGACGACAATTGTATCCAAAAAGGCGACGGCAACAAAATCTGCATGTGAAAGGTGTAGGCTTGAAAAGAAAAGACTTGATTTGATTGAAAAACCCAAAATTACCCTTGAAACATTCTAAATTTAAGGGGTAATTCGGTTTTTCAGAGGGGAAAAGGATAGTGAGACAGAAACTGCTCTGGGCAGGGAACCGCTCCGCCCTCGCTACCCACTATTTACCCTATAGTGGCCGCTATAGTGTTCTGCATTGCTAAGGCTCTTCCCTAGCGGCCGCCCTCCGCTGTAGCGGGATAGCGCCGCTATTACCCGCTATTAACTACTCTGCCATGACCTCACGGTGACAATTTGCAACATTGTCAAAATGTTAAAGATAACAATAATAACAATAGTCTGTTGAAATTACAGGCCCCTTACTACACAATCCTAAACATTTGTTTTAAAAAATCACTATAATATTAACTTCTACGACAATTTGATCCACTTCAGTTCCAATGCACATTGCATTATTGTGAAATTCAATAGATCTAGCTAAACACACTTCTTTGAATCCTTCATCTTTCCTAACTCTAAATTTTTCTCCTTTCGAGATGGCAGGGCAAAGCCAGTAGGTGCAAAATCTCACAATCCCTTCCTTTTTTAATCGAACTAGGTCCTATAAGACAAATCCTCACAAAGAGGGATATACAGAAAAACAGCATTCGCATATCAATAACCATACAACTCAGAGTTTCATAATTAAAATTACAAGTTTCAGAAATCAGAACTGTCGAGAAACATGCAAATCATTCTATAATTCATTCAGAATCACAAATGCTCATCCAACACACGCATTAGGAATCAGTCATGTCTAGAGGCGTCTCAAGTTTTTGAATGCTATCTTATAACGCCCTATGTAGCCACTGTTTAGCCGTAGTGACAAACTTTAGACCTTGTGCAGTAACCCACCTTGCACGCCCTCAAACCCAGCGCAGAACATGTCTCAAACACCAGAGACAAAATATGAATGGTGCCAAAAGCAACACTAAAAAGCACAAAGTACAAATTTTGTATAGCATTATCTATTTTCCAACCCCACCCCAATTTACTACAACAGTCATGAATGTACTATGTTTTTCATTATGAACTCACCAGACTCAAAGCTTGTGAAAAACTAGCCCCATGACAAACCACCAAGGCATTGAGAAATTAGTACAACAATGGAACAATAATTATTATGGATAAAA